GGGTTTTTCTGATCTTTCTTTCTTTCTTTCTTTTCTTTCTTCTTTTCCTCCCCTCCCCACATGGGGCTCAAACTCACAACCCCAAGATCAAGAGTCGCACACTCTTCTAGCTGAGCCAGCCAGGCTCCCTGGGGGCTACTGCTTTATATGTGCTGATTTTATATAACAGTATTCCTTTATTGAGTTGGTTTTGTTGTTGATTCTCTGAGTTTTCTGGGTATAGTATATCACTTGGAAATAGAAATAGTTTTTTTTTAAGATTTTATTTATTTATTTGTCAGAGAGATAGCACAAGCAGGGGGAGTAGCAGGGAGAGGGAGAAGCAGGCTTCCCGCGGAGCAGGGAGCCCGATGTGGGACTCGATCCCAGGACCCTGGGATCACGACCTGAGCCAAAGGCAGACGCTTAACTGACTGAGCCACCCAGGCACCCCGGAAATAGAAATAGTTTTATTCTTCCTCTGTTGATTAGTATGCCTTCTGTTTCCTCCAGCTGGAGATAATGAGCATTTTGCCTTGTTCCTTATCTTACTGGGAACGCATCTAGTGTTTGTCCATTAAGTAAAACCCTGACTTTAGAACTGAGAGGACTGTATAATACCTGTGCATGTGAGTCTCTGTCTGTATAAACTTAAAAAGCACGTGTGCTTGTGTGTGTATCACACGTACTACGCGTATTAGGGTGTGAGAGTGTGTGTGTATACACATATCCGTGCTAGTGAAGTATCCATTCCTGTTTTCTTGAGGGTTTTTTTTTTTTTAAAGATTTTATTTATTTATTTGACAGAGATACAGCGAGAGAGGGAACACAAGCAGGGGGAGTGGGAGAGGGAGAAGTAGGCTCCCGTGGAGCAGGGAGCCCGATGTGGGGCTCGATCCCAGGATCTTGGGATCATGGCCTGAGCCAAAGGCAGATGCTTAACGACTGAGCCGCCCAGGCGCTTCTCTTGAGGGTTTTTTTTAATCACGTATGTATTTTGAATATAGTCAGAGGCTTTTTCAGCGTCTTTGTGGAGATAAAATTCTTTTCTTAGCCATACTAGAATAGCATGTTAATGGATTTGTAAAGATTAAATGAGCCTGTATTCTTGGAATAAGTGCCACTTAGATATTATATATTTTCATTCTGGCGTTGAATTCTGTTTGCTAATATCTCATTTTGCATTTGTGTTGATACAAGCGATATCGGTGTGTGATTTTGTCTGTCTTACTGATTGCTTGGTCAGTCTTCTGACCCCGCCACTCCTTGCCTGTGGACCAACTGAACCCAGAAGGTTCTCCACTCTCCATGGCAGTTTATCAGCTCACTTGTCCTGCAATGTCCTGCAATGTCCTGCTTGGGATTCTCCGTCAGCTCAGCTCCTGCAGTCTTGGGGAATGTTGGCTGTGGCACCTACATGGGGGTAGAAAACCCTGTGTTGATACATCTTTTGTCAACCGCAGGATGATGGGACACATTTGCCAAGCACTTTTCTTCTGAAACAGGAGTTGAGTATTTGGCAGTCCCTAGCACTGCTGCTTGCAACAGCATTGGAGACCCCCTTGCTGCTCTCTCAGGGGGGCTTCTGTATCCCCGTGTTCCTCTGTGGTGGCCCTCTCACTCGCTTTCAGTGGAGGGTATCTTGAACGTTTTGAGAAAAGTGTTTCCTTTGATAATAAATTGTCCTGCTTTCCTGAAAGAATCAGTTCTGGGTTCGAAATACTTTTTCTTTCACAAGCCGTGGGCAGTTGTGCAAGGGTTTTTCTCAGGTTGAAGTGGAATGGCAGTTTCCAGGGTAACTGGTGTGTTTTTCCCCCACCTTTTAGGAGTTTTTTTTTTTTTTTCCTTAATTTTTCGGTTTGGGGCTTTTTATCAGGAAATCTCTAGATCTGTATTCCCCCCCCCAAAATTCTTGTTTGCAAATTGGATGGCCCCTTGTGACATGAAGGCTTACGTGATCCTTCAGCTCACGTATCATTTTCCATTCTGCCTTTGATTCTTTGTGTTTGTCCTTCTTGTTTTCTCTTTCTGAAAATGTTGAGTCTGTCGGACCTGGCTTTTGTATCTCAAACTTTATTTCAGCATTTCAATTTCTTGTTATCTGAGACATTTCCTACATTGTATATTTGGTGTCCCATTTGTTATTTAAGCCTCTTACCTGGGGGTTTTAAAAAAATTCAAGAAGTTGGTCTTTAATTTCTAAGTAGTCTCTGCTGGCTGTTTTTGGGAGAATGTTCTCATTTTATGGAAACAATGTCCTTAATTCATTGAAAAATACAAATCAGTAGAAAAAATGTAAGTGTCCTTTACGAAATTGATTTTATTATTGTTGAGCTGCTCATCTTGATGTTTATCTTTTATTTACACTGTTTTTCTCAATTAGCTGATGAGTTTTGATTTTGTTATTTCAGTTTTTGGGAGAAAAATTACTAATAGCTAATGTGGATATACTCAACTCATGACCCCATTTCACTCTTTTCTTTATGGAGGGGATGACTGCAGAGCCCTAGAAGTTAGTGGATTAGGGAAATGTGTTTAGGTTGACATCACTTCAGTTTTTCTTCCGTTTTTTTATTGTGATAAAGTACATATAACATGAAATTTACTGTTTTAACCATTTGAAAACGTACAAGTCACTGGCATTAAGCACATTCACGTTGTGCAACCACCACCGTCCATCTTGAGAACACTTCTCATCTTGTAAAACTGAAGCTCTGTTGCTCTTAAATAGTAATGCCCCACGTCCCCCCACCCCGGCAACCATTGTACTTTCTGTTGCTTTGATTGTGACTATTCTAAGTACCTCATCTAAGTGGAATCGTCCAGCATTTGTCTTCTTGTTGGTGTGTTTCACTGAGCATCATGTCTTCAAAGTTCATCCGTGATGGAGCAGGTGCCAGAATGTCCTTCTTTTGAAGGCTGAATTTTACTCCATTGTATGTATAGACCACATTTTGCTTGTCTTTTCATGTGTCGATGGACACTTGAGTTACTTTTGCATTTTCGCTATTATGAATAATGCTGCAATGAGCAAGGGTGTATAAATACCTCTCTGAGACCCTGCTTTCAGTTCTTTTAAGTATATACCCAAAAGTGGAATTGCTGGATCACATGGTAAATTAATAACAAATTTATTTTTAATTTTTAAGGTGCTCTCATGCCTGCAGTGGCTTCCCCAGTTTGCATTCCAGCGACAGCACACGAGGGTCCTGATTTCTCCGACACATGTTATTTGCTAGCTTTTTGGTAGTAGCCATGCTAAGGGACAGGAGGTGGTAACTCATTGTGGCTTTGATTTGCATTTCCGTAGTGATTAGTGATGTTGAGCATCTTCCCATGTGCTCCTTGGACACTTGTGTGTCTTCTTTGAGAAATGTCCATTCCAGCCCTTTGGCCATTTTGAATCATGTTGGTTTCTCTTGTTGGGTTTTAGGAGTTTGCTCTGTATTCTGGGTATGAGTTCTTTACCAGAGACATGATTGGCAGATATTCTTCCCATTCTGTAGGCTGCCTTTTTTTCTGTGGATAGTGTCTTCTTACAACATGGAATCTGTAGGCACCACTCCCATTTTGAACTGGCTGTGAGTTGGCAGACATAATTGTCGCTTTTCCCTCAGTGTGGTTCTCTGAGAGCTGCCTTCAGGAAGATCACTCATGTCCAGCACGAATAGAGTGGACGTGTGTCCTGGTTTGCCCAAGACTGTCTTGGAGCGCACCCGTATTCCCTACGATTTAACATTTATCCTAGACAGAAGCTGTCTGTTTGTGTCACAATGAATGTGTGACACCCCCCCCCCACCTTGTGGAGGCCTGAGGTGTGGTACTCTGCCACATGTGTGGCCACAGTGCTTACAACTGGAGAGGTCTTACCGTCTGCCGCTCATCCCACTGCTCTGTGGACTGAAAACTGGGAACTGCTTGGGCTGCTCAGGTGCTCCTGTGGCTCATTGCTCCTCACCTCCACTGCTTACTGGGGCCCTGTGCCCCCTCGATGGGCCTGGGGATTCTCCAGGGCTCCGGCACAGTCCGCAGTCCACTCTTGCTGGGGCCCTGCATGCGCCCTGTGTGGAGCAGTGCAGTCTGCGGCTTTGGTTCTCCTCTTCTCGACTCTGTGTGTCAGGAGTCTCCTCAGAGAAATTCCTGCTCAAGGAACAGCCTCTGTGTTCCAGGGCGCTGTTCTTTTATTTCTTTGAATTGGACTTTTAGGGGGTTTTGTTTTGTTTTTGAGGCAGGAAAGTAACTGTGTACGTTCAGTTTACCCTCCTGAATTAGAATCTGCTCCTACTGTCAGAGAGCTATGCAAGGGTCTACCTGCCCTCTTCTTCCCACTCCCCTCTTCAGTGTCAGTGCTGTCTTTGTTTCTGCCCGTTGGTACTTCATGCCTCTGCCTTTTCTTCCCGCCTTACTCCTCTGGCATACCGGCTGCATCTGTGAAACCTAACCTGGCAGCATAAAATTCGGTCTGTTAAACTGCTCGCCGTGTGGCACTCTGAGCTCTCGGGTGTTCGTCGGTGCAAGTTATTGCTGCAGGAGTGAGGTGTTTGACATGTGGTATTTGGCCCAAAACTTGGAGGAAGTTGAACCCTTAGTCACGCAGGTCGCTACAGATGAAAGAGCTGAACAGGAAGGCAGAGACCAGGGACCGAGTGCTGCGTGTGCCCCCGTGACGAGGTGGGGTGGGAGACTGAGGGATAAAATGCGTCTTTTTTTCCGTGGTGTTTTCCTCCCAGGCTGGAAGCTTTCTGAGAACAGGAGTGGTGTCTTACTCATCTTATATCCCCCAGAATTCAGTTCAGTTGCAAAATGGGAGCTCAGTTGGTTTTCTGGTTTGGGGGCTTGGTTTTATAGGGGGCATGTGAAAGAACCCGAAGGCAGTGTGTTTTCACTCTGATTTCGTTCCATAATCTGTAACACACAGTCAGGTTTTCAGTGTTCACAGTTAACTTTATCAATGAGCTTGGTAAGCTCCCGTGCCCGCATGCCTCCTCCATGTGACCAGTTCTGATCTGGTGCTGTTCCAGGGGCCAGTGTCATTCAAGGATGTGGCCGTGGACTTCACCCAGGAGGAGTGGCAGCAGCTGGAGCCCGATGAGAAGACCACGTACCGGGATGTGATGCTAGAGAACTACAGCCATCTCGTCTCTGTGGGTGAGGAGAGCTTGCTGTGTGGGTCGATACCCCCGGGGGCAGGGGTTGGAGTGGAGGGACTGCCAATTTAATGATTTTTCCTTAAGTTTGAAGAAATAAGTGATAGGACCATTTAACTCCCTTTGGGTACCAGGTTGGATATTCGTATGTTGGCATCTCCATCGAAACCTTCTGATTTTGCGAAGGTGCAAAACTGGCCACGTTTTATCCTGCAGCTTCTGAGGCAGCATCTTGGACTCAGAGATCTGAGAGCCGAGCAGCCGATCCAAGTCTGCCTCCGTTTCTCACTCACAGGGTACGACAGTACCAAACCGAAAGTGATCCTCAAGTTGGAGCAGGGAGAGGAGCCATGGATAGCCGAAGGTGATCTGCCGTGTCAGAGTCATCCCGGTAAGTTAGGAGCACAGTAGGGTTTTGGACATGGTCACCCCCACTCTGTGAGGGACTGAGGGCGGCCCTGAGCCTCCAGCGCCCCGGCCACACCTCCCAGGCTGCAGGCAGCTTGCTCCCTCCAGCACGACGTGCAGGCTGCTTTTCTGATTTTACATTTGATTTACACTTGTGGGCATTTTCCATGCTAGCCAGTGCTGAGAATCCAGTCACTTCCTCCTCGGGCGTCCTCAGTAACTCATCCACCCCCAGTAGCACAGAATTCCTTTCTTTGCAGACATTCAGAAGTCTCAGAGAAAAATGAACTTGAGACTTTCCCGTTCATTCTTTTTGTCTTCCATTTTCCTTCTTTCCTTGCCATGAAGTGCCTTGGGCTGGTTTCCTGCGTGTTTCACTCCCTCTTTTGTGCATTCAGACACCAAAATCTGCCCCCTCCCTGAGCTGGTGAGGCCAGCCGCTGCCTCACGTGGGTGCACCTGCGCTTTGTTTGGCACCAATGAGCGCAGGCCCTGAGTCAGTCCTCACGTGATGTTGTTGAAAACTGACCCCTGTGCTTCAGAGCCCAAATGTACCTCAAAGACAGCTTGGGATAAAGAGCAATAAGAGCTTCATTGCTTTGCCAGGCAAAGGAGGCTACAGAGGTCTGTGGCCTTCACAGACTGCAAGGAAGGGGGGTTTATAGGGAGAGGATCTAGGTGATTTGCCAGGAATTGTGTATATGCTGCCAGCCTTGTTAGTTATTTTCAGGGTGGTGCCAGGTTCCTGAGACCACAGGCTAAGAAGGGTGGTGAGGAAGGTTTGCAGAAGAGAGGAAAAAGGTTACTGTAAAATCAAGCTTCGGGGCATCTGGGTGGCTCAGTCGTTAAGCGTCTAACTTTAGCTCAGGTCGTGGTCCCAGGGTCCTGGGATTGAGCCCCACGTCGGGCTCCCTGCTCGGCGGGAAGCCTGCTTCTCCCTCTCCCACTCCCCCTGCTTGTGTTCCCTCTCTCACTGTCTCTCTGTCAAATAAATAAAATCTTTTTAAAAACTTTAAAATAAAATTGAGCTTTGCGGGGTGCCTGGGTGGCTCAGTCGGTTGAGTGGCTGCCTTGGGCTCATATCATGATTCCAGGGTCCTGGGATTGAGCCCCTGCATCGGGCTCCCTGCTCGGCAGGGAGCCTGCCTCTCCTCTGCTGCTCCCCCTACTTGTGCTCTCTGTCTCTGTCAAATAAAATTTTAAAAAAATAATAAAAATAAATAAAATTGAGCTTCGCTGAAGCATTTGTGCAGCCGTCTTGATTTTTCTTTGACTTTGTGCTTTAAGCGGTATCAGTGTGCTGGTGCAGCACGAGTTGGGCCTTCCTCTTTTCCCCAGCGCTCCTTGTCTGTCTGCCCACACCTGCAGCCACCGTAGATGTGCAGGAAGCGTTTACTCATAAGTTGGCCCCCCAGGACCTGTTTGCCATTCTTTTTTTTTTTAAAGTTCTTAGTTTGGGCGTCTGGGTGGTTCAGTCAGTTAAGTATCTGCCTTTGGCTCGGGTCATGATCCCAGGGTTCCCTGCTCAGTGGGGAGTCTGCTTCTCCCTCCGTCCCTTCCCCCCACTTATGCGCTCATGCTCTTAAAAAATAAATAAAATCTTTCTTTTTTTCTTAAGTTCTTTATTAATCCTCATGAAAAATCTGCACAATCACCACAGATAAAGTCACTGTAGAATCTTTACTCCTGTTGTCCAGTCTCCGGCTTGCTGTTGGCCAGCACCAGCCATGGCTCTTGTCGTCCCCCTGACTTTCTTCATTCTGCTCTCGGCGTTCCTTTCACCCTTTCCTGGAGGTCTTTTTCTTTTCGTACAGGCCATGTCTTGCAGGTCTGTATTTGGGTTTATTTTTCTTTGCATTACCCAAGGAATCCTAAATCATGCCAAAGCCAGTTGTCTTGCCACCACCAAAATGGGTTCTGAATCCAAATACGAAGATGACATCTGGTGTGGTCTAGTACATTGTGGCCAGTTGTTCCTGAATTACTGCGGCCTTCCTGGGGTGAGGAACATCAGTGAGCATTTGTTTCCGCTGAAGTAGTTGCTTGCTTGTGAACTTCCTGGTCTGGATAGTTACGATGTCCTTCATGATGGCGGCTGAGCTTCAAGCAGCCAGGGAGGAAAATGAGCCTTTTTTTCCATTCTTTAATTTTCTTCGTGTCCTTTAAAAAGGTTCATCTTGTCTCAATTGTCAGGCCTTTTTCTTTGTATTTATGCTGCTTGTCCTAATTGATATTTAATGCCTGTAACCTGTGGACTATTTTACCTGACGGATGCCCGTGCCAGAGAGGTACCCCAATCCCTTCTTCCTCAGAGTGGCTGACAGCTGCAAACTTCTCCAAACCATCCTGTGCATCCTCCCCACTTCCTTTATTTATTACATCGTACTGGTCTTCTCTCCTTTGGTCCCTGTTTCTTTTGTGAAATGCTTTAAATTTTTCCTGTATTTTCCTAGTTTCTTCTGACCTCAGCATAAAGGATACTTTCTCATACCTGGTTTACAGTGAATCCTATTTAGAAATTGCAGGGTCTGTTCATCTGAGACATCCAGTTGATTTAACACTAGGCTGACAAGATGAGCCCATAACTATTTCTTCTGAAATACATTTTACATTCTCCTCTCCTAGGGTCCTTCTCACTGTGGTGTGATGTTGCCCATCAAAATTCATGGCCTGTTTCCCCAGACTCTTGTTAAATTCCATTTGGTCTAGATCTCCAGACTATCCTAGCCCTTCTTCGTATGTGCTTGTTTTACCCAAATTATACGTTTTCTTTCCTTCCTTTTTAAATTGTAGTTATAAAGAGATTACAATATATACCTGAAACTAATATAACACGGCACGTTAATAACTACATTTGAATTTTAAAAATAAGTAAAAATTTTTTTAAAAACCTACCCCAGAAGAAATGCCAAGGCTCAAAAAACCACAAACGCATAACAGAATTTACCATTTTAACATTTTTGAGCATACGGTTCATTGGTACTAACTATATTCACATTGTTGTGCAACAGAACCTCTAGAACTTTATCCTTAAAAGTTCACCTCTTATTTGAGCTTTCCATAATTACTTGTTCACCACACTTGCTTCTCCCTTCTCTTGATACCCATTCTGCAGTTACCATGAAAGTTAGATATGATTATATATTTGGTACTTGACCCTCTTTCTCTACCTGAATTATAATCCTCCAAATAGGAAGGATCTTTTCATCCTGCTTTGGTATGTAACATACAGAAGGCATTCTGTAGATTTTTCATGGACTGAGGACCTAGGGAAGAAAGACCTTTATTATCTATATCCGTTGAGACATAATTTATCCTCAACTATGATTCGATAAAACAGGGTTAGGATGGAACCTGAAAGCACCCCGTTTGATCAGATTAGGAACTATTTTAATTTCCAATCACAGAGAGATTCCAGGAAAACTAGGAAACGTTGCCATACTATCTGCAGGCACACGGTTTAGTTAGGAAAGGAAAACACAGTTGCGTGGACTAGTTCAGGTTGAGCTTTCACACACAGTACTGACCTTCAAGTACATGTGATTTATAACTTTGTATTAAAGCTGTCTTAAAAATTGAAGAGCTTTAAATAGCTGGGAGGAAACATTTAAAGCCTCCCCTGAAGTATGGATAGGTGTGGAGTGTAGCCACCGCTGGAAGCCACATTGGTGGACGAGAGTGTGAGCACAGGCTGGTGGTTGGGAGTAAGTGGGCATGGCCTGGCTTCCTGGAGCAGAAGGTGTTTTTGGAAGATTAGTGAAATGCTAGTTTGAATACATTTGTGAATCCAAGTAATGAAAAATCTTACTGGTGAATGATAACTTCTCTGTTTTTGTTTTTTTGTTTTGTTTTTGTTTTTTTCTGTTGGTATTCAGGGCTTGGAGGCCCAGGGATGGTGTAGATTTCTGAGCACAGAACTGTTGGTGTTGCAATGATTGTGGATGAGGGCAGCTAACAAGAGCTCAGAGGCTCCAAAAATCTGTAAGAGGCATTAGAAATAAAAAGTTAATACTATAGGGGTAGCTTTAGAAATCTGACATTTAAGGTTTTATGCTAAAACTAAATGAAACCCGTACTATAGGACCTCTTGCTTGTTTTCAGGACTTGGTTGGTGTTATGTCAGGGACATGACTGGTTTTATGAAATTTAAATGTCAGCAAATTGAAAGAAAATCGATGGACATGTGTTTCGTATCATATACTGTTCTGAGCGATTTACATGCACTAAGTTGGTCCTTTCCCGGTGATTTGGGCACATTTCAGCCATGTGAAGCTGCATCACAGTTAAATAACTTGCTCAAGACTCGGCCAGTAGTGTGGTAGAGGTGGCTTTGAATCGAGGTAGCCTCATCTCTACACTTTTAGCCGCCATGCTCTGTTGTGCAAAGTGCAGTTAGGGTTAAGTAAGACTGTTGGGACACTTCAGAGAGCCGATGTTCGTGGCTCAGTCTCTTGCCATCTGGTCCCATCTTACATTTCTTTTGGATATTTATGTGCCTGGAACTCTCCTCCCTCCTGGTGAATGTGAACCAGGGCTGAGGAGTTGGAGCCCTGGTGGTAGGACTGTCTCTAAAGATAAGGAGATTGGAATTTTTAGAATGCTTATTTGGATTTATGTGCAGAATAGAAAGGCAAAGGTTTTGGAAGGGTCTGAGCTAGTGAGGATGTCATTGTGGTAATCTGTGTATCTTACAGTTTAATATAAATTGTGAACTCTTACTCTCAGCATAATCCGTACTTGAATGTTTTCCTTGAATATTCATGTAGCAGTTGCTCTTGTTCTCCCACTGGACCAGTGTGCTCAAGAGTCCTCCTGTTTCTGCCTTAATCTAGTGCTCTTTCAGTGATGGTGCCCTCTGCTCATCATTTCTTGGCTTTATTTCCCCTTTTCTACCAAAGTTTTGAACATATTTGGGAAGTAACAAAGGTACTTATATTTGGTGTGAATTTATTCTCCCTTCTTTCTCTAGTGCTGAGTCCTGTCCCACTCTTATGCCTTCCCTGTACCTACCCCACCCCACTCCCGTATGTGTGTGTGTGTGTGTCTGTCTGTCTGTCTTACATGACAAATCAAGGGGAAAGGAAGACTATACCCTTGTGATTATTTTTATTTGTGGAGATTGGCTATAAAGCCAGAGTTAGTTCCTCAGTAGGGCACCTGAGTACCACTCCCATTTGATACCTGGTGTGTTCAGATTCACAAGATTTGTTTAATTTTATTCCTTTTTAGAAATAGTCTGGAAAGTTGGTGACCGGCTAGAGAGAATCCCAGGAAAAGAAGATGAACATTCAAGGCAAGCTATTTCTATCAACAGCAAAACCCCGATTGAAGAGAGAGAGAATGCATTTGATAAAACATGTAATGTGGAAACAAGCCTTGTTCCTTCAAACATAACATCTCATACTTGTGTCTCATGTGGAAAGAATTTAGAGTCTACTTCAGAATTAATTATTAGTGATGGAAGCTATGCAAGAAAGAAACCTGATGAGTGTAGTGAATGTGGGAAGATGTACCACAGAGGGAAACCCTATGAATGTAATCAAAATGGGGAAGGCTATTCTCAGAATGAAGAGAGCATTCTTCAGAAAATTAATATTTTGGAGAAACCCTTTGAATATAATGAATGCATGGAAGCCTTAGACAATGAAGCTGTTTTCCTTGCTCATAAGAGAGCTTATATGGGGGAAAAGCCCTACGAGTGGAATGACTCTGGGTCAGACTTCATCCAGATGTCAAATTTTAATGTATACCAGAGGTCACAGATGGAATTGAAGCCCTTTGAATGCAGTGAATGTGGAAAATCCTTCTGTAAAAAGTCAAAGTTAATCATACATCAGAGGGCCCACACAGGAGAGAAACCTTATGAATGTAACGTATGTGGGAAATCCTTCAGCCAAAAGGGGACCCTCACCGTCCATCGGAGATCACACTTAGAGGAGAAGCCCTATAAATGTACCGAGTGTGGGAAAACTTTCTGTCAGAAGTTACATCTCACCCAGCACCTGAGAACTCATTCAGGTGAGAAGCCCTATGAATGTAATGAGTGTGGGAAAACCTTCTGCCAAAAGACCCATCTCACCCTACACCAGAGGAATCATTCAGGAGAGAGACCCTATCCCTGTAACGAATGTGGGAAATCCTTCTCCCGCAAGTCTGCCCTCAGTGACCACCAGAGAACGCATACAGGAGAGAAACTTTACAAATGTAATGAATGTGGGAAGTCCTACTACCGAAAATCTACCCTTATTACACATCAGAGGACCCACACGGGAGAGAAACCCTATCAGTGCAGCGAGTGTGGGAAGTTCTTCTCTCGGGTGTCGTACCTCACTATACATTATAGAAGTCACTTAGAAGAGAAACCCTATGAATGTAATGAGTGTGGGAAAACCTTCAATTTAAATTCAGCCTTCATTAGACATCGGAAAGTACACACAGATGAGAAGCCCCACGAATGTAGTGAATGCGGAAAGCTCTCTCAGTTCTCATATCTCACTGACCATCCTACAGCTCCTTTAGGAGACAAACCCTATGAATGTAATGAATGTGGGAAAATCTTCCTTGACAGTTCAGCCTTCAATGGGCACCAATCACTTCCAAAAGGGGAGAAATCCTATGAATGTAACATCTGTGGAAAATTGTTCTCTGAGTTGTCATACTACACTCTACATTACAGAAGTCACTCGGAAGAGAAACCCTATGGATGCAGTGAATGTGGGAAAACCTTCTCCCATAATTCATCCCTCTTTAGACATCAAAGAGTGCATACAGGAGAGAAGCCCTATGAGTGTTATGAGTGTGGGAAGTTCTTCTCTCAGAAGTCCTATCTCACCATCCACCACCGGATCCATTCGGGAGAGAAGCCCTATGAATGTAGTAAATGTGGGAAAGTCTTCTCTCGGATGTCAAACCTCACTGTACACTATAGAAGCCATTCAGGAGAGAAGCCCTACGAATGTAATGAATGTGGAAAAGTTTTTTCTCAGAAGTCATACCTCACAGTACACTATAGGACTCATTCGGGAGAGAAACCCTACGAATGTAACGAGTGTGGGAAAAAATTCCACCACAGGTCAGCCTTCAATAGCCATCAGAGAATTCACAGGAGAGGGAATGTGAATGTACTGGATGTGGAGACGCTCCTGTGAAGTCAAAACGCTCTGAGTATGACGAAATCTAATAGGGAGACAGATGTCACTGAGAGCTCGTGTTTCTGAATGGGGAAAACCATTTAGGCATTAGATTCATCTCCACCTGATTTCTCACAGAGAAGGATCCCTAGGAATGCAAGAAGCAGCAAAGCCTTCAGCGAGATCCTACAACCCATTGGGCACGAGATGATTTATACAGGAGTGAAACTTGATGAATATTTAATATTTATTTTGGAATTCAAATTGTATTTACATATCAGGGAATCATACCAAGGCGAGATCTGTCAGAGTGATGAATGTGGGAAAACATTGTCTTGGAAATTGTTATACTAAAAGCCATATTTCTGATGTAAATTCCAATGTTTATAGGAAAGCTATCAGAAGCTGTCAGCTCTGAATAAACCATTGTATAAAATGAAGTTTTGGAATCATCAGGAGTTTATAATGAGGACAAAAACATTAAACACATATATGGCAGTTTCTATCATGTTTTTAAAATGCGGTCTAATAGTAATTCTATGCAAATTTGGATTTGAATTATTTGGGAAAAGGAAGTATTCTGAGTATTAAGGTGGCAAAATGTACTAACACAGGATATGTGTTGTTGGTGAGACGTTTGCTATGCACCAGATGGTTAAATGCATACTTTTTTGTTTGTTGGGAGGCATTGACAAATGGGTTTTTGGCGAATGCCCCATCAATAAAGGCTAAGCTGGTGGTTTTTGTAGCGTTTTCAACTACATTTGAACAAAAAAAGATTTTAAAGACATTATTTTCATAAACTATGCATAGATGATTTGGAGTTAAGTCTGTGTCAGTAAAAGGGCATCCACACAGTTTATCTGTAAACAGCACACAGCTCTCATGCCACTCTGCTTGTCTAATCCATAGGTTTGAGTGCGTGGTGTGCCAATATTATGTAATTCAGAAACTTCATCTCCTTTTATTTGACGTGAATACTATGTCACATTATTTTGTGCACTGCTCCTCATTCCCAGTATTGTGGAACAAATACAAGTTTCTGGCAGTTTTAGTTGATTAACTCAGTGTCCTTTCTCCCCTTATTCCTTGCTGGAAGAGTTTGTTCACCATTTCCTCACATGACACAGAGGGTGAATCCTGATTCATCTAAACCAATCATGATAATTCCATTCTGATTGCCAGTAACCTGTTTATGGTGGTCACATGACCCAGTTCACTGGGCCAAGGAATGCAAGGGTCATTTAATAATCAAAAGTTAATCACTGGACTACATTATGGAAACAGTCTAGGATGCAGAAAAGTCACGTGGTAAAGTCAGCATCCATTAATGTTCTTCATAAGCTATGGATTTGAAAGGAACTTCCCTACTTGGATGAAAAGTATCTAAAACTGCAACCACCAGCCTACCTAATACTGAAATACTGAAAGTTTTCTCCAGGATGCAAAAAAAAAAAAAAAGCCTATATGCTGTCACTAATTGTATTCAGTATTCTGCAAGAGGATGTAGCCAGGAGAATAACGGAAGAAAAATAAAGAACATAAAGATTAGAAAGAAGTAAAACTTTTCTTTGCAGTTGCATGGTTTTGTACATTGAAAGTTCTGAGGAATGCACAGATAATTGAAATTAATAACTAAGTTTAGCAAGGTCCCTGCATACAAGCTCATTGTGCAAGAATAGTTTTTTAATATACCCAGCAGTGAACATTAAAAAAATGAAAAACTTAAAAGCAATACCACTTAAAATAGCATCAAAAATCCTCATGTACCTGGAGGGAAAATTACCTAATACCATATTTTCAAGAACTGTATCTAGAAAAAAAAAGCTACAAAACTTGAGAGGGCCATATATAGTTCATGGATTCCAGGACAGTTTTAAAAAGATCTCAATTTCCCCCAAATAAATTCATACAGTCAATGCAGTCTTAAAGGTCCTAGTAAGTTCTTTAATTAAGCTAACTCTAAAATTCAAATAAAAATTCAGAAGACCAATAGTCAAGGCTATCTTCCAGAATAGAGTGAAAGAATTTATATTACCAGGTATCAAGGAAGACCTGTCATAAAGCCACAGAAGTTATTATAATTGTGTGGTATTGGTGCAGAGATAAACAAATTGACCATTGGGACAGAGTAAAGATTCCAGAAACACCCATATATAATACAGTCACTTGGTTTTTGATGAAGATGATAATGCAGTGTAATGGGGAAGAGGCTATTCTTTCTAATGTCAGTAATTTTAATAGAGAAGTGGGTTGAGATGGATTACAGATCTAAATATGAGATGTAAAATAAAGCTTTAAGAAAAATTTAGCCGAATGTATGTAACCTTATAGTAAGAAAATTTTTCTTAAGACCCCCCCAAATCACTAAACTATAAAATAAAGCCAGTTAATTTAGATATATTAACTTTTTGAAACTTACGTTTATCAAAAGGATCCCATTAAGAAAGCAAATAGGCAAGAAACGGGGAGAAAATACAACTTACGTATATGACAGCAGACTTGAGTGTAGAGGAGGGGGTGGTGATGGTTTTTGGAAGGGGCCAGTTAGTAAATACTTGGGGCTTTGTGGGCTAGACAGTCTCTGTGAACATGTCTGTGTCTCAATAAAACTTTATTCACAAACACAGGCAACAGTCTGGATTTGGCCCTTCCAGCCCTGGATCTAAAATTGAAAAAGAATGCTTACAAATCAACAAGAAAAAAATAGAAAATGGGCAAGAGATTGGGACATCCAGTTAACAAGAGAATATCCAGATGGCCAGTAAACATGAAAAGGTATGTTATTTTTATTAGTAATCAGGGAAATGCAAAATTAAAACACTACCCACCCACTGAGATGGTTACAATGAAAAGCATAAAAAGCAATCAAGTTTTGGCAAGGTAAACAGCAGGAAGCCTACCCTGCTCAAGGTATTGCCAACTAGTATGACCATTTTGGAAAGATGGCTCTTTGAATGTGCGTATACTCTTTTAACCCAAACATAGCAGATAGGTGCATTTATGTCAACCAAAGGACATGCTAGAATATTCATGGCATAAAACTGCTAAAACCAGAATTCTCTGAAGGCATGCATACAGTAGAATGAATGAACCTACGTGGTATGTTTCACTGCAGAAGACTAGAGTGTTGAGAACGAGTGAACTAAGTATTTGCAATAGGAGCTCGACTTCACAGAGCTGAATGATGGAAGCCAGACACAGAGGCACACACACTGCATGACCATCTGTGTAAAGCATAAGAACATAAAAACTTGTCTATGCATTTAGATACCAGGATAGTGGCTAGCCTTGGGGCAAGGCTGGAAAAGGGGTATTTATCTGGTGCTGGTAATACTGTTTCCTAAATCTGGGTGCTGAATATCTGAGTGTTCTGTGCACTTGAGATATGTGTCTTTTTCTGCATGTATATTGTTTTAAAATCCTGCATCATTTTGTGCAGGAAATATTCTTTAGAGTAGTTTTAATGGCAAATACAGAGATTTCCTACACTGTGACCTTAAAGCTTAATATAAAATATATTTTAAGTAAAATATTTGAAAAGGTGACAGGGCCATTACATATTTTGTCATCCTACCCTTTTGCATATATAAATGGATCTGAACCACCTCTTCCAATAAAGAACTAACGTGTGTAAACATTTCATATTTTCTCAAATGATCTTTCACATTCTGAATTGGGGCTGCGTCTTCTGCATTACTGTCCTCGAGATGACCTTGCTGGGAGGTAAATCCATATAATGGTGACTTTGATTTGATGGGAAGTTGTACTTAGAAGGTTTCCACTCAGTTGTGAGTGAGGACAGTGTGAAAGCTCTGTGTCATAAAAAGTAAGAGCGCTTGGCGGGTGGGGAGGGAAGAGGGCTGGCTGAGCTCAGCGGCCCAGCAAGAAGGAGTTACGGCCATGGGATGGAACAGACTGTGTGCACTTGACTTGATTCCCTTCCTCATACTAGGCAAAGCTTGAAGTGTAAACAGATTAACACCTGGCTGAAGGAGCAGTAATCCAGGAGCTGGGGCTTGATGCTTTGCTCCCCCACCCCATCTGCCTGTTTGTTCCCTCAGTCCGCTGGGCTTGACCACATGCCTCGCACTGCGAGGCATGTGGTCAAGCATGGCCGTGGCTCCCCTTCCATCCCAGCCAGAGCCTGCCTCTTTCACCATGGGGTTACAGTATTCCCCGAATTAAAGGCCACAAAAAAACAACAACAACAAACATATAACCCCCCACCCCCCAACTTGCCACTGTGGTAATCATGGCAAAAAAGTTCCCTTTCACATTTAGGAAATCAGATTGCTGTAGTGCCTGTCAAATTGGGGAACTAGTTGAATTGTTGACTTGTGAGCAGAGTATGGAGTGAAAATAACGTCCAAAAATCCTCCAAGGGAAGACAGGACCGTGGTCTCTCTATGGAAGAACATGTGGCCTCTGGGGACGGTGAAGAAACAGGTGCAAATATGGCATCTGCTAAGCACAGCTCCCAAACCGTATTCGTTTCTCCACACAATCAGCTGACCTGACGACAATGGAACAGGAAAGCAAGTGCTTAGCTCAGGACCACCAGACAACCCTCAAGCCTGACAGGACTGGGGAGTAGATGGAACACACGGGCGGGTGTTCAGCCCTCCCCCTGCCATACTCCCCAAACCTAAGCTTTTGCAGCAACAGAAGAAAATTGGCATATTTTAGTGGTTAAAACCAAGGAAGGGGGAATCTTGGAGCATGGTGGTCTGGTGGGTGGACAAACAGGAAATGCACACTAGCTTTGTCAGCTTTGGGGTACACGGGTTCTCCAGAAACCCTCACTGGAAAACAGGGGTGTGAGTGGCTTTTCCTGCGGGCAAGGTTCCAGGAACTCCCGGGAGAAAAAGAGCTCCGGCAAAATCTTGAGACTTCAGCCACTAAAAAGGAACAGGTTGAACCACCTCCGCTAAATGAACGTCCTCAAAGAAGCAGTGTATTGCTAAAGTGAGGTAGGAATAAGCAAAAAAGAGATGAAGTGTTGAGTATGAACAATAAAGATTCAAGAATTCAGATGAGCCGGTGGCTGATGAACTGGGAGATAACTGTGGCAAGGAGTGTTTGCAGAAGGCCTCAGCAAGAATAAAAATGTGCGGGGAAAGGGGTAGAAGTGAGGTTTCCGCAAGATAACAGGAGTCTCCGAAGTGGGGGTGACTGCAGCAGTGAAGAGGAGGAACTACTTGGGGGTGGTACTTAATTTCATATATTTGGAAAAAAACAAAATGACCTCAAAAGACCATCTGGTGCTCAAAAAAAAAAAAAAAAAAAAAAGGGAAAGATACGGAAATAGCCATACCTCATCAAAGTGCAATATAAGGATGCTCAAGATAAAATTTTGCAAGTTTCTATAGTCAATCACTCAAAAGAATAATTTCTCATCTTCCATTGTTGGCCATTGTGAAGTAACATGAACCAGATTTATGCTTCTGACTAAACTGAAAACTTGGACAAAATAAGGTCACTGCTTTGGGACAGTGGGCACAGGACAGTGATCTCCCTGGGTGCACAGCGTGCTGCTTGGACAGACCTTCTGGACCACAGCGCGGGAAAGGGCACCCCAAGTCGCTGGGCGGTCTTCAAGAGTGGAACAGAGCAGAGCCCCCAAACACCAGGGGTCTCTAGGGCCTTGCTCTTCAAGTAGAGACGTGGCTCTGGCCTGGGGTGTGGCCTGCTGTGGTCGAGGCGTGGTCAGGGGGCGGAGGCTTGTCTTGACTCTAGGGGGTGTGGCTAAAGGATGTGGGCGTGGTTATATCTCGGGGGGAGGGGCCATAGTAGGACGGTTGGGTGGTGCTTAACGGGGTGTGTGGCTGTCCTGGGGGCGTGATCTTTATCTGAAGGGTTGGGTGTAACAATGAGTGGGGCGTGGTGATGCCCTGGGGGCGTGGTCAGGAGTGGGGCGTGGCTCCGGCTGCAGAAGGCGTCCAAAGCTCCAGGAGCAGCTCAGGCAAAAACCGTGTGGATCTAATAGCCCTAGGGGAGCGGAAGGCCAGTGACCGGGCTGTGGGCGGACACGAGGGCAGTGAGAAGACAGGCAGGCCTGCGGGCGGGTGAGCAGTGACTGAGGCTTGGGCTTGAGGGCCGAGCTTCGGGGGCAGTGGGCCTGGGACACGGAAGGGGGAGGGGACAGAAGGGGGAGGAGATGGGGTTGGCAGAGTGGGAGGCGGAGCCTGGACAGAGGGCAGGGCCTCTGACCACCCGGCCCTCGCCGCCTTGCCCCAGCCCTACCTGCCCAGCCATGTGGCGCCCGTTTGTCCTGATGCTGCTGCTGCTCTCCGTCGTCCCCATTCCCAGCGCCACTGCCGTTCCCATCCCGGATGCCAGAAGCCAGGACAGCCTGCAGAGCTTTCTCCAAGGTTGCAACCGTCTCTCGTTGGGGTTTGGGGAGAGGAAGAAGACAGAGAAGAAGGGCGGAGCAGACAGCAAGAGAAGTCAGAGGGACA